GAGCGTGAGTTACTTTTAGTGACATTTTTCGGCGTAAAATTCGTTAGTGTCCTAGTGGTATGACAGGAATATTAATATTGAAGCGCAAGATGGAATTCGACTCTTAGATACCGATATTTATTTTGACTTATTTTCGACGTTTATTAAAACAAGGTGGATATGAACAATATTGTAAAATGTGATTGTGCAAAAGGGTGGAAAAGATAAAATCACAATATATTATACAAACTTACACTTGCAGTCCCTTTCCAAAGCATAAAGAAGAAAAAGTTCAAGGATTACTCATTCAAATTCTGTATTATAAATTTAAAAATAAAGTTAGGGTTTTTACGCTCAAAATAAGTCCTAAATAATTTTATACAAACTTTCACAGAGCATAGATGCAAGTGTACGTACCGATACAAGAATTACCGACAGGAATATTGTGCATTGAATAAATGAAATTAAGCTTTTGTTGAGTAAGTTCTTGGAAATATATAATAAATTGTTCAACCGTTTTTTTTTTCTTCTGCAGGTAACTGTTTAATGCTCATGAGTACAAATACATATTGAAAGTATTGTTTTTTATGCGGTAAATTATGAAGATAAAATAATACAAAGCCTTTACAAGCCAATACAAAGCCTTTTAACTAACCTTTCAATCTTGAGTGGCAATTCTATGTTATTGTCATTTTATATTCTAAGCGTTGGTATTTCGAGCCGAATTGAAGAGTTTAAAATGCAATTTTAATGATTACCCAGCAGTGTCCACTTGTAACTTTTATCTCTACGAAACTGGTTTGGTAAATTTCATTTAAAGTTACCAATTTACTGAAGCGGTCAAAATAATATACTTCCAACACATCGTAATCAACATTTTATATTGTTATTACTGATTGATTGTAGTCATAGCATAGATCAGGGATGGCGAACCACTGACCCGCGGGTCACAAAGTGACCCACCGCGTTTTATTCGTGACCCGCCAAGGCACGAATAAAATAAGAAAAATGCTAACATATCAGTGATAAAAAATATTAAAATCGGCCTTAAATTAATCTAACAATACCTAAACTATTATAATGTACCGTCAGTTGGGCAGTCAGGGCTGCGATCGCTTATATTCAAATTGTTAATTTCCGGTATGATAATATTCAAAACCCCTAATCTTGGACGCATGTCTGCATCGTTGTGTGCCGTTCTTCAGCTATTGGCTCTGACAGTTTATGACATAACAATTCAATTGATGTTCATTTCTCGCAACGTCTTGTCTCTTCAGAAGTGCATCTGCAGACTGTTTTAGGGGCTGTACGAGAACTAGATGCCACTTTGCATTTTATTAGTTTCTCGCCTACAATGCCGTTCAGAATACAAAATCTTTCAGACTTAAAATAAAAACCTAGAAATCTGGAATAACAATGGGGCAGTGTAAAATTGCTTTTTATATGGTTAAAGCTGATATAAAAATATAGCACTATCAGAGTGGAATTCCCTTCAAACGCTTTGAAACCGTAAAATAATTTGCCGCATCATCCTAAACGTAATTCATATGTGTGTTTTCGTCCCCCTAATCGAGTGCCATAAAAAGTTCCTGATAAGGTGCTGTAAAATAAAGCACTAAACTACACCAACAATAACAGAACCGTTGTATTATGATTTGTTTCAGAAGTTTCTTATAGATACAAACATTGATTAAATATCTGTGACCCACTCTCTTCTGTTCCGCGATAAAAATTTGATTTTTGACGCATTCATTCAAAAAGGTTCGCCATCCCTGGCATAGATGAAGTGATCTATGCATGAAAATACATTCAATCATTCTATGGCTTGTTTCAAATTCTTTCGCTACTACAATTTACGCCAAAATTTTGTCTACATTATTTCTGATCCGAATCGACGAGTTAGTATGATACCATTTCATCATTAAAATGCACATGCAAATCGCAAAGCTGGGCCTGGCTAGACTAATTGATTAAAAATATTTTATTGTTTCAAAAAAATACAGGTTTTCCAAACTTTTCTGGTTCTTAAGTGCCTGATCATATTTAAAAAATAAAAGCACGATATCATAAGTAACAATAGAACACGCGATGAAATATTTGACAAATAATATTTTATAAAATAGATTGAATTTTGATTGAAAGTGAGGTACAATTCAAGCAGTACGATATTAACACTAACCTACGTTTATTTGAGCCAAGCATAAAAGCATAGCTACTGGGATTGTCAATGGTTCAGTGCCTTATTCCATAATGTTTAAATCTTTCATTTTATAGAAAGTATTGAACAGAATTATGTATTTGTAATAAATGTCGGTGTTATTAGATATTTGCAAATACTAATATTCTCTTATTTTTAAAAACATACATATTATATTCCAACAAATAATAAATATTCAGCCATTTCTGAAGTTTATTGATGTTGTAACTCTAGTGTTTTCAATCAAAAATACCAAATATATTTTATCTTGATTTCTACATTGAGCTACTATCACTTCCAGAATTTTATTGTTTATAGAGTAATTCAATAAATTAGTAATTTGAAATTAATGGCAAAATAATGCATACATCTTCCCCCTCGAGATTGTTACTAGTTTCCTATTTATTCATACATATACATTCATACATATCAGTATCCATCTGTAGAAATACAAATTGAAAGTTAATATAACAACGCACGCAATTTCCTTATTATTAAAAAAATTGGAACGGCGAAAATAATGATACAAAATTGAGCAAAATAATGTTAGACGTATTTGATAAGTATCCAAAAATTTGACATATTTTCGCAATATTGTTTTTTTAGACAATATTTCACGGCGAGAATTTGGCCAAAATTACCTGATGAACAATGCTCGGAGTGTTTTACACATATTTTCAAATTCCTAAATTATATTTTACAATTCTTGCTTAGAATAACCAACGGCCTGGGTAAGTGAATTATATTAAATATATAATGTTTGAATTATCGAATCTATTTTAGAAATCCTATAAAAATATGCAGATTACCTCCATTTAAAATAATCTTGGATTTTAATGTCAAATTATGAATAATATGTCTCTATTTTTGATTCAGGTAACGTGGATGAAATTCGAGCGAAGCTTGAAGAAAGCGGAAGGAAAGAAAAGAACTAGAAAAAATCAAAAGGCTGGAGAGATGTAGTCAGGTCACCTGCAAATGCTGTTTTATTTAATTGTTGCGAATTACTTGATTGATTGATCTCAGAAATCCATAGTTGCTAAACTAGCTTCACACGCATTTAATGGATCATAGTACTTTCTACGTTTACGCCAAACCAACCATTTTAACAAGCACTCACTTCAGCCTGTTTTTTCTAACATTTTTCTTACTAGAAAACTGCGACGTCTTGTGCAGATCAAAATGCTTTACCCTCTTTGTGACAACATTGGTGGTCAGACAGACAATATATATGACCAGACCCATTAAAAGATTAAAGATTACCTGCAAACCAAAACTATGTTTATTTTTCACGTGTGGACTGGGATAGTTTATCGGGTATGGGTGATACATTTTCACGCATATTTTATGACTAAATCAAGCTGCTAGACCAGTGTTTCCCAACCCGAGTCCGCGGTCTCATGAGCGTTTGAATGAGTCCGCAACGAGCCAGAAATTCACTGCGGGCCGCAAACGTTTTTGCGAAACTTAACCATCAGCCACGATTTACGTTAGTATTTACATAAAACATAAAAAGCAAGTTCAAGTATGCAATTCACAATTACTCGTTGAATGAGCATATAAATTAATTATAATTAGGCATTCAATAGCAACAAAAGGCAGAAAAATTGAACGCTAAGTGAAATTGGTTCAATATTTAAATGGTCAGTCTTCGGGCGCTGCTTAAAATTTAACTGTTGATCTGTATGAAAAAATGTGATTCATTGGCCATACGTCCGGCTTACTTCCCAAAAATATGCGCGGTCAACCAATGACTTGCAACCTTTAATTTTGGCCTGCGAGCGACAAAATGTTGCCGACTTTTGGCTTTGCTGTTGTACGAACAGCTCAGATTTGTCGAATTCACAAAAATACAAATCAAAACAAAATATAACCGGACACTTTACCACGCATTTTTGTGTCCACGGATTGTCATGATATTTTCGGAATAGTATTGCTTTTATTTCGTCAACACAACCGCAGATTGAAATGATCACAATTAAATTAATATTAAAGCAAGGCAATGAATATTTTTTTTTGATTTACTAATATACTAATTATATTTTTAATAAGTACTAAATCTAGTTGTACTATCTAGAAATTTATAGCAGAAATTTAACTTCTGATCTGTGTGAAAAAATGTGATTCATTGGCCACACGCCCGGCTTTAAACTTTCTGAAAATATGCGCCGCCCACCAATGACCTGCAACCTTTCATTTTGGCCTGCGAGTGACAAAATGTTGCCGACTCCTGGCTTTACTGTTGTACGAACAGCTCAGATTTGTTAAATTCACAAAAATACGAATCATAACGAATTCATTACAGATATCCTAAAAAGAATAGTCGCAATAAAAACACCAACTGAATATAATATAACAAAGATAATTGCTGAGGTAGCAAAAACAAGACTCAAAATTGATATGACAACAACGGATCAAATAGAAAATTTGGTACAAATGGATGAGAAAGACCAAAATGAAACGTCCTGATGGCCCTCACAATTTTACAATGGAATTCTAGAAGCATCAAAAATAAAATTTCAGAATTAGTTCATTTTATATACCATACACATCAAATACCAGATATAACTTGCTTACAAGAGACATGGTTGAATCCAAAAGACGAAATAGACATACCAGGATATCAAATTTATAGGAAAGACAGGCTCAGAAGAAGGGGAGGAGGATGCTTAATAGCAGTGAAAACTTCTTTATCATTCCAAAGAATACAGGTTACGACAACGCAAATTGAAATTCAGGCAATAGAAATTAATGAATTTTATTTGTTCAATGTATACAACCCTGGAGTAAATATCACACAGGAGGTTTTGAATAAAATTCTTAATATACACTGACAAAAAGTAATCATATGTGGAGATTTCAATGCCCAAAACACTATTTGGAATTGTTCACAGACAAATTCAAGAGGACAGGTTCTACAGTCATTCATTGAAAGCCATGAATTAGTTATTTTAAATGATGAAATGCCTACAAGAGTGGGAAATGGGAATGAAAGCTCTGTCATTGATTTATGCATAACAACGAAAGACATTGCCCACTTATGCATGATGGAGATATTACATGAAAATTTAGCAAGTGACCATAATTTAATCTGGTTGTCATTGAACTCATATAAAAACACTTCAAAGGCAACAAGGCAACCATACATCTCGACTAAAAGAACAGACTGGGAAAAATATAAAGTTGAAAGCTTTAATCACATAAATGGTTCAACAATAAACGATGACGTTGAACTTTTTAATACAAACCTGTGTCAGGGCATAATTCTCAGCGTCACATCATGTACTCCACAAAATGTGATTGCTTTATCGAAAAATGCAATACCATGGTGGAATAAAATTTGCAGCAAGGCTGTAAAAGAAAAAAAGAAAGCATATAGGAAACTAAAAAGAAGTTATCTACCCCAAGACCTAGTGGCATTTAACAAGGCGGTAGCAACATCAAAAAAAGTAATACTACAGCAAAAGAGGGAATACTGGGAACAAACTCAAATAAAGTGGGATACCAAAACAAATCCAAAAATTGTTTGGAATACTATAAAGAAAATGAAGGGGAATATACAAAACAATGACTATAAACTAAAATCCGGAAATAGGGAGATAACAAACAACAAGGAAAAAGCTGATGTACTTGCCGGAGTGTTTACCCAAACCATGTGTTCAGACAGTCAAGATGATGTATATAACACAAATAAAAATATTCGTCAACAGTATTACAACCAAGTTAAAATGGAAATTCAACAAAGCCCAAACCCAATTATGTCATCATATAATAGACGAATAACAATACATGATCTAGAAAGGGCATTGAAAGATTGTAAAGATGATACTACCCCAGGGGAAGATCAGGTTACATACAAGATGATCAAAAAACTTCCAGGACCATGCAAAGGAATAGTCCTTAACTTATTTAACAACATCTGGAATACCGGACAAATACCAGTAGCATGGAAGCGCTCAACCATGATACCAATCCATAAAACAGGTAAACCGAAATCAGACCCAGACTCATACAGGCCTATTTCTCTAACCTCTTGCTTATGTAAAATTATGGAAAAAATTGTTGGCAACAGACTGATGATATATTTAGAATTGAATGGAAAACTCAACAATATTCAAAGTGCTTTTCGCAAACAAAGATCCACACTTGATACACTTATTACCCTTCAAGATACAATCACAAAATCTCTTCAAACAAGACAAGCAACTTTTGCTGTATTTCTTGACTTTAATGAAGCTTATGACACTGTATGCCACCATGGACTAATAGGAAAAATAGCAGACATGGGAATAAATGGAAAAATGTTCAACTTTTTTGATAATATTTTAGAAAACCGATCATTCTGTGTTAGAGTTGAAGACAAGTTATCTGATACATACCATCCCATTCGAGGACTTAGTCAAGGTTCAATTCTGTCTCCATATTTCTATCTCATTTTTGTAGATGATCTTCCATCAACTTTACGAGATACAGATTGTGGACAGTTTGCTGATGATTTTGGGATATACAAAACAGGGAGAAATATTGAATTTTTGGAACGTAGCGTTCAATCAAATCTGAAAAAAATAGAAGAATGGTGTATCACATGGGGAATGAAAATATCTCCTAGTAAATGTTCAGCTGTGTTATTTAGCAACAAAAGAAGAAATCCAGAAATTAAGTTACAAATTGGAGGAGTAAATATACCAATACTTGACAAAGTAAAATATTTGGGCATGATATTTGATAAGAAAATGACATGGAAAGAACATATAGAAAATATCGTAACAAAAGCAGCGCAGAGATTAAATATTTTGAAATATGTTAGTGGTTCCAAATGGGGATCACAATTACACACAATGCTACTATTATACCGCTCCTTAATTTGCTCGTTGTTCGATTATGGAACCCAAATCTATAGCACAGCATCAAAAACATTGCTAACAAAATTGGAAACAATACAAAATCAAGCCCTTCGCATTTGCATTGGAGATATGAGAAGCACACCAATGGATGCAGTATTGAATGCATGCTCAGAAACACCACTGGCATTAAGAAGAAAACAATTATGCTTGAATTACCGATTAAAATTACAAAACTCGGTTCAACTTACCTCAGCAAAAGTATTCGAAGAATCCTGGCAACATGAATATGTGGGATATAAATTTGTATCATTCAAAACTATAACAGAGCTTGAAGAAAATGACTTGTCAAAACCTGAAAATAAACACCAAATAAAACATTATATACAAGAAAGATGGAATATACAATATAAACAAAACATATCAGGACTATACTATAAAAGAATATTTCCGGAAATATTACTAAATTACTCGAAAAAAATAAAAGAATCAAGAATACAAACAAGAAATATTTTTAGACTTCAAACAGGACATGGTATGCTAAATAAACATCTTTCGAAATTCAATAAAAATGTAGATGAAATATGCGACCAATGCAACAGGGAAGTTGAAGACACTGAACATTTTTTAATACACTGTCCAAAATATGAACAATATCGAACCAACATTCGAAATCTTTGCAGAAGAGAAAATGTACCATTTACATGTAAAACATACTATATGAGGTGAAATTTAGAAATGCCATAAATTAGTTCATCATTCAAACTGGAAGAAAACTTTGAACACATTACAAAATACTATACTTACCAATCTGAGAATCAAAACAAAACTGAAAGCACAACCGAGTTGTTGACAAGCAGGTTCACGCCATGACGACAAAAAATGGCTGTAGCGAATTGGTAAAGTGTGTGCAATTTTACTGCAATAGAATAGTGCAAAGAGCATATATATATATTCATTGAATAGTGTGAAGTGTTTTTTTTTTTCACAACATTTCAGTGACAGAATTTCCATTGTTCAGCACGAAATTCTTTTTTGCGAAGTGCTTTTTATTTCACTTTTTAAATAAAAAAAAAATAAATAAATAATCGGACACTTTACCACGCATTTTTGTGTCCACGGATTGTCATGATATTTTCGGAATAGTATTGCTTTTATTTCGTCAACACAACCGCACATTAAAATGATCACAATTAAATTAATATTAATACAAGGCGATAAATATTTTTTATTTTTATTTACTAATATACTAATTATATTTTTATTAAGTACTAAATCAAGTTGTACAACGGCGATAACAAATTCGCAAGATCGCAATTAATTTATATCAAAACTAAATATGACCGGGCAATATATTCTCACATTATTATGTTCGCAGATTGCCGTGGCATTGAAAAGAAGTAATGCTTTCATCTTGTCATAAGTCAACGCAACCGCGAGTGACCATGAACACAATTAAATTAAAATAAGAACACATTTTAAATTATAGTCGTTGTCAAGGATTGAATACTGTGTGACAGAAAAGGCCATTTATACACTAAAGAAGTCGGCCCTTTTAACAAAGGCGTAATTGCGTAGCATTTTCGGTAAAATTCTGTTGTGTTGTGTTATTACCTCTTCACACAGAGTACGGTTGCAATAAACTCACGTTGAGTCCACAAAGATTTTCGCCAGTGAGAAAATAGTCTGCGACCAAAAAAGGTTGGGAAACGCTGTACTAGACAAATTCGACGCTATTTACAGATCAAATTGCCTATTTTCATACATTCTGTAACGAGGTATGACCATACCAAGGCCTTTTAGCCAACATTGGTAATTATTTTGAATCATGTATATCCAGAAGTTACTAAGAAATTTATTTGCAAAAAAAAAGCGCTTCGGAAGTGCGTGTAGCAATATGGAGGGAACTAATTTTGTTCGCCTACTTTACATCAAGTTGTGTAAAGGGATTGAAACCTATGGGCAGGAGTATATTCACTTTGCGAACACAGCCAGTCCCCAAATTCGTAATAGAACTAAAATGAGATAAAACAAAATAAAACTTTAGCATAACCCGAACCTGCTACACACACTACGGGAGTACCAAATTATATATATTCGAGAAACACATTCACTCAAAATTAATGTCATTAAATAAATAAAACCAAAGACAAGTTTTGGAGTTGTTTTCCGAACCGGTCCAAAGTTTTAAAACTGCTGAAGTTTCAAATTTTTGCCGAAACAGCAAGGTCTATCAAAGATATCATAAATCTTTTGCGGCACTACCGCAGCATTTGTACCAGGTATACATATGTGTTTTGTTGTGTGTTACGAGAGTTGGGAATTATTTCAGAGCATGTGGAGAGCGGAGCGGACAGAGAATAAAGAAGAATTTTATATTAAATATGCCCTATAATAATTTTGGAAAATTTGGCATTATTTTTTTGCCAAAATCTCGTCGTTGAATATTGTCTCAAAAACGCTATTGCGAAAATATGTCAAATTATTAGATACATAACAAATACGTATAACATATTTTGCTCAATTTTGTATCATTATTTCCGCCATTTCAACTGTCTTATTAACACGGGAATTGCGTGCATTGTTATATCAACTTTCGATTCGAATTTCTACCGATAGATACAGATATGAATGAAAGGAACAACGTAACATGCAGTGTCTAGTTGAAAATTTATCGTTATCGTAACAAACTTAAAATTAACTTCCGAACCTCAACAGGATGTTGTCAGAAAAGCACCTTGCGTATATTTGTTTGTGCAGAGCAGTTTGTTTATTTGCGTATTAATTACAATACACGTTAAAATTCGGATAAGTTTGATAAAAACATTTTTTTTTTTAAATATTACGTTTATTAGCTTCATTTACTCTACAGGATTTTAGCCTTTGCTTAATAGTGGAGAAAAATTGCACAGAAGCAAGCGTCTACTTTTAAAAGTTAAAATTATTTGAATTTGATTTTGAATATATCAATTTACAAAATCAATCAGTAATCACTAGATTCAAATTATTAGGTTATTGAAATACGCAACAAACAATTAAAGTGATAAAAGACCAATGTACAAACAAAGATTAATTATTTAATACATATATATGTTATTTTTCGAATGAAAATATATTAGTATTCGCAAATATCAGATAACCCCGACATTTATTACAAATACATAATTCTGTTCAATACTTTCTGTAAAATGAAAGATTCAAACATTAGGGGAAACGGAGCTGAACAATGGATAATCCCAGTAGCTATACTTCTATGCATGATTCAAATAAACGCTGGTTAGTGTTATCTGCTGGAATTGTGCATCACTTTCAGTCTAAATTCAACCTATTTTATAGAATATTAATTGTCAAATATTTGCCTGCATGTTCTATTGTCACTTATAATATCGTGCTTTTATTTTTTCAAATATGAGCAGATAGAATATAAAGGACAATAACATAAAAATGCCACTTAAGACTGAAACGTTAATTTGATAGGCTTGATATTGTCTCTTAACCTACCGCATTAAACAGTTTCCTACAGAAGAAGGATGCAAAACATAAAATCTCTGACGGTTGATAACATTGTATTTTATATTTTCAATACCCTATTCAACAGAAGTTTAATTTGATTTATACAATGCACAATATTCCTGGTGGTAACTCTTGTATCAGTACGTATATTACTTGCATCTATTCTCAGTGAAAGTTTGTATACCAACTTTTTGGAATTATTTTAAGCGTAAAAACCCTGCTTTTATTTTCATATTTATAATTTAGAATTTGATTGCGGAATCCTCAGATTTCCAATTGACTTATTTTGCGATGGAGAAGTTCTCTGCGAGTAAGTTAGTTTGTATAATATATTGGTGGATTCTTTTTTTTCTACATCACTGTACAAGTATATTTCAATCGTAACAAGTGTTCGTTGAACATAGCAACATATTTCAATCCTTCGAATGTCACTGAAATTAGTTCATCATGAGCCATTAGTATGAACATAGTAACCCCATAACAAGATTGTTCATATGTATTTTATTATATTTAAACGTCAACAATTGGTCAATTTGAATACCGGTATGCAAGCTTCTCCCCTTCACCTCTTCTGCAATGACACATGGACACTAAAGTTATTTTATGCCGAAAAATGTCACAAAAAAGAACTCACACACTTTAAATCACAGCGAAAAATCAAATTAAAGAAGTCTCCAAACTATATGAGGATTGAGAAATACCAAGAAGAATACTAACAACAAAAACAACAACAACAATTTAGCAGAACGATTCATTGATCTTCTTTGTGTCACAATAATATTCAACGCTATTCTTTTTCCATAGAGACGGCGTCGATGAGATACGACGCAACTTGAGTCTTAACCAATCTGGAATTCCTTGTCGCAGAGACGGGTTTGTTTGTATGTTACCTGAAAATCTCAAACACTTGCAATCAGCAGTTTGTTTAAAAGGTGAGAAGTAATTTGTTTATTCAAAAAATATAAAGTGTTTCATCCTTGATTTTAGTTAGACGTGGCGCCACTCCTAACAAAATATAACCTGTTTCGTACTCGAGAATGAACATTAAATGTTATTTTGTATTTGCAAATATGGTGTTTTGAAGAAAAAAGCCCCTAACATTTTATAACAAACCCCGGAATTATATCTTTTGTCATAAATACGTCCCCGCAACGGGAAGAAGCCTTTGTTGAAGTATATCATATTTCTGGTGCACAAAACTTCGCCAGTCATAAACACCATTAAACAATAATGATAGCTATTTCGTTGATATAAATTCAACTTCTCCACATTCATTTGTAGATGCTGAATGTTACAGCGACGAATTCAAATGTACAGACGGATCAGGGTGTGTACCACGTGAATCGTATTGCGATACTCGTAGCATCGATACCCGCCATTGCATGTCAGTTGAAAATACAATTTCCATATGCATATAGTTTACATACTTATAAACTTTATATAAAAATGTTTGTTTATATTCATAGAGATGTTGATACATCTTCTCATTATATGAGTTCATAATTCACATAAATACAAAGCGCTAATGAATGTCTTGTGTCTAGGGACAACAGCGACAAAGATTTCCGGCAGTTCCGGGACGACAAAACTGGACATTTATGCCGATCCGTTTCAAATGATTTCTGCTATCTTCCCGAAAGTCAAGCCTATAAAGCCTCCTCCCTTTGCGAAGCAGGTGAAAACGATAAACATCTACAAGTATATAAAATTTGTCGGTTTGCCCGTGACAAAGACGGGTCTGTGAGACCCAAGCAGTCCAATTTCGAAACGATTTTTTTTTAGAGTGACTCTAGTTTTATTCCATAAATTTTTTAATAAATAATCATTTATCATTAAAGTTTTTATGCCAATGTTAGATATTACATAATTCGGTGCTACTTTGGTATGCGATATCATCGGAATTTTCAAGTTTTTGTTAAACTATTTGTTCCAAGCATTATTCATATAACTTTAATTTACAAAAATATATAATTCAACAACTCTCAGGTGCATTTTTTAAACTTTCCTTTACCATTATTTATACAGCAAAAAATAGAAAGATTAATTCAGCACTAACTTAAAACAGAGGTGGTAAATATAACACTTATGCTTTTCATATATATACATTATAATTTTTAATCTCCACTCCCAGTAAGATAAAACGATGAACCAATCACAAAATTTCGAGTACCAAAAAAAATGATGAATTGAATTTAAATGAAAAGAAATATTCTTAGAAAAAGTGTCATATAATGAATGATGATGCAATATGCAGTATGGCTTTTTCGTGAATATTGTTCTCGGCCACTCTGTGAAGTTATTACTGCCATAGCTAAAATAAGTCAGTCCGTTATCTGATTTGTGTTTCAGATCCATTTTGTCGAGGTGATGAAACACTTTGCCGATATCCATATAATTATTGCCAAAAGATTAACTTTTGCACTCGAGAGACTCTTTGTACGTGAGTGAATAACTAATTATGGAAATATCGTATAATTTTGTACAACCAATCATATGGGTCTTAGACTCACCATATTACGCAAGTATAGCAATGTATGTGTATAATAATTCAGAGCAGA